CTCCTCCTCCTCCTCCTCCTCCTCGCTCTCTGAACCAATGGTGATGTAAAACTCTTAGCCTTTTTTGGCGTTCAGGGCTGGAGCCTTCTCTGACTTCAGCTGCTGGCTGAGCTCTGTGGTTCTGTAGGACAAGAAGAAATGCCTATACCAACTGGATGGCATGACATTTCTAGAAGATGAGAGTTAAATCAGTGATGAGAACACAGTGTAGATGAAATTTTGTATTAAGGATTCTCACTGCTTTTATAAAGTGCTTTTACAGTTCTCGGTTGGTCTTTAACAAGCTTGTGAGACATTTTAATTCTTCAATGATTGAACCCCTTAATGTCCCCCCCCCACTACCAGGCACCCACACATGTGATGTGACATGGCTTCCTGGAGGAAACAAGAGTCTCCAGTGAGCTGTTTCACACCAGACTAGTAATCTAGCTTATTCCATGAAGATTGCTCTGAGGTATCCCTATTAAAACCCTTCAGCCCAACCAGACTTACTGTTCCCAGTGCTTATAGATGTCCAAAACTGTGAAAGGCTGAGGAAGAATTTGTTTCTGCAAAGAAGAAACACAAAGAACCACAATTGTCACCTGACACTGTAAGGACTCTTCTTGAGGCAAACTATCCTCTCCTTGACCTTAGAGCTTGCATAGATAGGAGGTTCAGAGAAGACTCCTTTGCTCTAGTACAAATGTCTGCTTGGTCTTGCCAATCTTCTAGAGATGGGAAGTGCAAGCAATTCTACTGGTAAACCCTTTTAACACAATGTGTCAGTAAGAGGCATCTTTGTGAGGCTGGAGCTAAAATATTCCAAGCTAGCATTTATCCAGCCTCCCTGGCACTAGTCAATCTTAGAGCTCACAAGACATTTTTTCCACCCCTGATCTTTTAGAAGGCCTTCAAAGGACTAAAGAGTCAACTCTCAGAGCACAAAGTGGAGCCCAGATACTCACGCATCCAGAGGGCATGAATGGAGCCCACCGGTCTGTGGGGAAGAGGCTGAGCCCATGTGGTACTGGGTTCTGGTAGAAGACAGGGAACCAGGTGGAAATGAAACCCTTGGAAGAGATGCCAAAATGTTGTCTGCTGTCTCACCCCAGGGAGGCAGTTCCCCTTCTGCCCTGGTGAGCCCCAAGAAGTGAGAGCACCTGCCTCTGGAGTGACTGGCATCCATGCAAAACAAAAGCACGTGGACATAGACAAGGGCCATGGGCAGTGGTGGAGGCAGCTGGGAATGGAGGCAGATGAGGTACCGCGGCCTACTGAACCCAGGCAGCAGACCAAGGTGCTCTGCAGCCCACCAGAGAGCCCTCCATCCTTACCAAGAACCTGCCCTGCCTCCAGGGTTTTCCTGTCCCGGGAATTGACCCCCTGCCTACAAGGAGCCACAAGGTTGTTAATTAAGACTTTGGCTCCACCCCACAGCCCTGTAGGCTTTGAATTAGAATGAATTCTCATTTTTGTTTTTCAATTTGTTTAGGACCTTTTTTGTCTGAATGTGATCTACCCCCAGTTAAATGCCAGTCTTGTCGAGTTGAAAAAATGTCCATGGGATATATCAAAGAGCATAAATGCATTCTATTGTCACGTATAGCTAATTAAAACAAAAAGAAATTTAAATGTCCATGGGTATGCAGAAGACCAGCCTCCTTGAAAAGATGCAACTGCCTTCATCAAGCCTCAGCTGCAGCCAAACCTACAGTTACACAGTGTTTATGTTCTACCAAGTACTCCATGACGCGCGCTCACTGCGCGGCTCTCCAGCCAGAAGTGGCTCAGCCTGGGTCCACCTTGAGCCCACTGCTAGCCTCCCCACCCGCCTGGGTCTGGCTCCAGAAGCCTCCTTGCTGCCCCTTCCACAGGGCTTCCTGCCACCGGCCAGAGCCTGACCAGGACCTAAGGTCTCTCTCCACGTGTCTGCTGGTGGGTGGGTGCACCTGCACAGGCCTCAGCCAAAGCACCGCTTCCTGCAGCCAGGCTTCTGCCCCGCCCAGAGACACCGCCCCCTCCGAGGCCCCGCCCTTCAGCTCCTGCTCACCTGGCCCCTGCCCTCTCCGAAGGAGGCCCCATCCCCTCACTTGGCCCTGCCTTCCAGCTCCGGACAGGCCTGCTGCACCAGGAGTGGCAGCACACGGGGAGGGCAGAGGATTTGGAGAGTGGCCTCCCCTGACCCCGTTCTTTCCCACCTGGATACCAGCAGTGGGCAGGGTCCTGGGAGACTCACCCGGCTCAGGGGCACCAGAGGAACTGAGTCCTGCAGGACCTGAGTCCTGCTATCCAAGGTTCCTTCGCAGACTCCTGCCGGCTGGAAAGATGCACAGGCCCTTCCCAAAACCCAGCAAAGGAATCAGCAGTGACAAGAGGGTGGCACAAGACTGTGCCCCTCTCCGGGAAAGAAAAGCAATAGTCAGTGTTTTAATTATTTCATACCAACATTTTCCCTGTCTTTCACATACTTTCTAAATTAATCCAGTAATGAACCTTAAACAGACTTCTCTACTTTTAATGTATTTCTTCTTTGGTCCAGAAAATTTTCAGGTTTAGAAGAGTTATAGATATTTACATAAATCCTAACAATTTAAAAACTAAAAGTTCTCTTTAACATGCCTTTTTCAGAGTAATAAAAAATTAGGGAGAGGAGGGGAATTCTAGGATGACTGACAACAAGCAGATTTTCCTTATAGTTTAAATCATTATTCATTATAACCTATATTAAGGGATAATCCTTGCTCTTTAAAAATTAACAACATTTCACAGCTTGTGACTAATCACTTAAAGCAATGATAGTTCTTAGCAGTTTCAAATCAAGTTCAGAATAAATTATAGAAATCATGTATTTCTTTGGAACTGGAGGACAGTGTAGAGACTAGAGCAGGTAGTTCAGTAAAGGATCACTGGGTTCCTTAAAAATGTCGATGTTTTATTCTGATTTACAAATCATCTGAGGATGGAAAAACCCAACATTCCTTTTTCACTTTTAACTTGAAAAGTAAAAAACATAAAATATTCAATTGTAGTATGTAATATAGATATGACACAATCATCCAAAATCATATTTTCAAGGTCATATAGATGTCTGACCTAGTGTTCATGATAGTAAATGAAAACTTTTAAAAGCTGTAATACCAAACAGGCATGATGGTGCATGTCTATAATGCCACCTCTGCAGGAGTCTGAGGCAAGTAGATAACAAGTTTGAGGCCAGTCTAGGCAACTTAGCAAGGCCATCTCAAAATATGTAGAAAAAAAAAAGACTGGGGACTTAGCCCAGTAATATAGTACTCACCTAGCATATTCATGGCCCTAGTAACACACACACACACACACACACACGCACACACACGCACAAATATAATACTCAATTGTTATCAAAATAATCACAATGATAACATCATCACCATCACTATCATTTTTTGGTAGCCTGGCAGGAATTCTCTCGATTTTTACTCCTAATCATATGATGAGGACATCAGTACTATCATCCCACTGTACAGAGGAAGAAACACCTGGCTAATTTTGAAAAGAAAAAAAAAATTATACATCCATAATATACATAAAAATCTTAAGAGAAAATATATTAACACAATGTTGAATGGATTGCATGTTTAAAATATTGAGCCAAGGAAAATATAATACTAAAATCATCAACACTTGTTTGATTTAACATTTTTTAACGTTATGTTAATGTTGAGCAATATTTATTTAGGAAATTCAATAAATATTTTAAATGTAAATAGGTTTATCATAGAAAAATCACTTAGTATTTAGATAATAAATGCTCTCCTGAATATTTTTGAAGCTTTGGAACTAGGAGGGTCCACTTATATGAAAACAGCATTTTACATTTTGGGGGGGTACAAGGGTTTGAACTCAAGGGCACTCAACCAGTGAGCTACATCCCCAGTCCTATTTTATAGTTTCTTTACAGACAGGATCTCACTGAGTTGCTTAGCACCTCACTTTTGCTAAAATTTCAAACTGTTAATTTAAAAATACCTATGAAAAATATGGCTAATTTGAAATGTTTGAATATATTGTTATTGATTTTTTAAATCAAAGTGTTAGGAAGAATTTTATAATACATGACGTGTATGAAAAGAAACTTGAGGAAAGGACACAGTATTTGGCACCAAATATGAGCAAGGTGCTTTGGAAAATCATGTGTGGGATGCAAAAATGAAAAATATATAGTTTATTTCACTCTGAAGTGTTTAAGTTCTCGTATCACACATGAAGTTTTACCCGAGAGAGATGGAAGCATGTGCCTGTCAAATAATTTGTACATAATCTCAGTCATCAGTCATATGTGTTAAATATGATAATCTTTTATATTGTTCCCTTATAAAAGATGTCTATAAAATTGACAATCTTGAATCCATCTTCAATGGAGACAGTGTAAAACTAACCCTATCTTCAAATTATGTCGAATATACGGTAACAAACTAGATTTACCTTGTCACTTAAAATGAGAGTATGTAGAGATAGAGGAAACAATAATTTTCAAGTCAATGGGTAGCAGGAAACAAAAGATCAATTCCTGAGACATGGTACAGCAAAGAAGCAAGCCTTATAATCTACTCAACTTAGTTCATTCCGAGTTCCCAGGCCATCAATTTGGACAATGAACATTGAGGGACCAGGCTGACTCCTGGATTGAGGATCTGGGGCTTAGATTGCAGGGGAAGCAAATGACTAGAATTTGTAGCACACAGGTTAAGAAGTGTGGGGACTTATGCATAGAGACACGCTGGAACCGTATTGGGGATCTCCCTCAATTTTGTATTTGATCAGTAGATATGTATAAATAATTTGGGAAAAGAAAACAATCAGAATGATGAGAGATCACAGTGTCCAGCACTCACACAGGTCTAGTAATTGTACCCTGATTCACCTATTACATAGGAAAATGTCATGATTTATTGTACCTTAAATAGAGTGCACAAAGTTCTTTCACTCAGTGGTGAGAAATAAATCTCATTAATGTTAGCATTACCCCATTCTCAAATAAGAAAACTGAAAAGGATAAATACCTTTCTGAGTAATCATTTTCATCCTGGAATAAAGATCTCCACAGCTAATGATGGCGCTCTGTGCTCAGGAAGGACTTGCAGCCAGACTCTACCCCAAAGTGGATGGGGGGCCTGGGCTAAGGCCAGTGGGCAGAACCACCAGGACTGGGCCCTAGGGGCTCACAGCAAGGATGAGCATTCCCTTGCTGTCTCCTGGGTGCAGGCTGGTGATCCTCTGTGTGTGCGTGCGTGTGCGTGTGTGTAGGGGGGGACACAGGTCCTGAGAAGAACTGAAGACCTCAGTGCAGCTGTTGTGGAAGGACAAGGAGTCTTAGCTCCATGCTCTGATCTCCAGCTTGGCTGAGCTCTACTCCATCCCAGACCAAGATCTGATCTGGGACACAACTGTCCCTTTCACAGACCAGGTTACCCAGCCTCAGGAGGTATTCCATCCAACAGCAGCTGTGGTTCATGTCCAGCCTTCCTGACCCTCAGGTAAGCCACAGCCCCCCCATGTCACTCCCCCACCAACCCTCCAAACATGGATGCTCTCATGGCCCTGGGTGACTGGGAGAAAGGCTGGCTGGGGAGGCTGTCACACAAATCCAGGTCAGCTGAATTTGCTAGAACATGAGCAGGAAATCAGAGACCAGTAATAGCAACAGCACACAAAGGCAGACACACAACATGTTCATGGAGGCCTTCACGGGCACTCCAGCCTCACATGGGGAAAATACGGCACAGCCTCACATTGTTCTTTGGGTTCCCAAATATGTTTTTTTTTCTTAATTTATTCACAAAAAGTTAAGTCTCAGAGTTTATAGGGGCTGTACATGGGCAGAAGTCTGGGAAGCTCTGTACACAGGGCTGGGTGAAAAGGGGGCCTCCAGATGGAAGGTACATTTTAGAAAAAAATAAATAAAAATGGGAACTACATCCACTCCACCCTGCTCCCCAAATAAAAATACAGAAAAAAATAGATAGCTCAGGTCAATGGGGACCCTGGGACTTAAGGGTGTTTTAAGGGTTTCACAGATGGCAGGGCTTACGGGGGCTGCCCCCAGCACTGGGATGGCCCCTACCTTAGTTGGTAGAACAGCACATAGCCTTCGCTGGATGCCACTTGATTTTCACTTATAGGGGAGACACAAGAGTCATCATAGACATGCCAACCAGTCTGGCTTCGGCACAGGGCTGTGTAGTGGCCGGAGTGGACACTGCCTGAGTGGTTGCACAGGGCATAAAGCTCACAAACAGGGCTCACAGTTCTGTCACTGGTAAAGTCCTCGAGGCTCATCTGCTGCAGTGGGAAGTCTACATCCACTGAAATCTTCTTGACGGTGCCTTGGGAGGTGGAGAATCGATTCAGATGGAGAACGAGGATTGAGGGGAATCTTTGTATTGTCAACTTTTTGATACTCTGTGTTTTCTGGGAACATCGGTCACACACTGGGGCATTCTCAAACTCTATCTCTTCTTCCTTGGTGAAAAGGTTGAAACAATCCCACAGAGAGACCTTCTCCCCAGAAAACCCTTCCGTGGGGATGGGCAGGGACAGATCAAAAAAAACCTCAAAGGTCACGGAGCGATACCCACAGGCCTGGCACATGCGACAACTTTTCAACTGGCCGGCAAACAGGTCCACAATCTTGCTATCCTCTCGTTCCAGGTAATGCTTCCACATTAGGTTGGCTCGATCATCATCAGTTAACTCAGGTTCTTTGAGCAGAGTCTCTCCTCTGAGAGACGGAGAGGGAGCTGGATCATGGGCCAAGATTGGTGGAGCCCGGCGACCTTGTCTGTTGAGTTCAAGGTGTAGTCGCTCCATGAGGAGTCTCAGGAACTCATGGGCATCCTGCTGATTGTTTCTAGAGAAGGAGGGAACGTATTTCTGGAAGACAGATTGGAATTCAGCAGGATCCACAGCTTCACAGGAGTTAGGGTGCCAGAGGGCACCAATCACATCTGCAAAGGCTTCAGTAAGTTCTTGGTCCTGGCCCCTTCCAGGCACCTCTCGATGGAAGTCTCTTCGTAGACAGAAGTCTCGAAGAGGCCGAGTGCTGCTCAGGCACTGTAGCACAGCATTCAAGAAGCATGTGTTTCCTAGATTTTGGAGGCCAACATGACCAGAGCCTGGAAGTAGTGTATGATGAGCAGATGTGGAATGGGCTAAGTTGGTCCAGAATGGGATGGGCAGAATCACAGTTGGGGCTGGTGAGCCAGGCAGGGGAACCCCATGATCTGCCTGAAGGGGATGAGGCCCCAAGGTCTGTCCCCACCCAAGTTCCAGTTGCTTGAGCCATTCATCAGTGGGACCTGGCAGGGGAGGAAAATGTCATAACAGAGTTTGGCCCAGGGGCTGGGTTCCAGTGCTCCTTGCTGCAGGCCCAGGGTACAAATTGTAGCTTAGACCCTACGTGGGGTTGGACATTGACAGGGGTTTCAGGTCCTGCTCAGGCAGTGCTGAGAATCCAGGGGCCTGTCCCACCATGAGGTGGTGTGAAGGCCAAACAGGGCCAGGCTGTAGCTCAGGGTCACCCCCACCCTTTACTTTACACAAACCCCTGCCAGCCAGACAGCAGCTATGGCCAGAGACGTTGCCCAGATAACTCCTTCTGCAAGGAGCACTGCCATCTTTGTTGGTCCCAACCACTTCACTGTCTCTCACCAAATATGTTTTTCTTACTTTCTATGGTACCCACATGTCCAGATCCAAAATGAGACACATGGTTTAACCACAGGTTTCTCTTCCCAGGATTATGATTTTATAAAACGAATCAAGAGGCTGCACCTGAAGTGGCGCTGGTCACGGGGACCACTCCCCACCCTCCTGGGCAGGCTGCTAACCAACTCTGGGGGAAGGTGGCTCCACAGGCCCTGCAGCTTGAGCTCCACACACGGGGACTAAGTGGCTGCTGGCCAGACTCATGGCTCTTTCTGCTGGTGCTCTTGCTCCTGTTCCTCCCCTGGACCCATGTCAGTGGCCCTTGGCCTACAGAACCAGGAGCTGCAGACCTGGGGCGTGGAGCCCTTCCTCCTGGCTCATGCAGTGGCCATATCTGACTGCAGTGCCCCAGTTCCTGCACTAGAGTTCTCCTTCCACAAACCTAGGGGCAGGCATGTTCCCTATTTCACAGATAAGAAACACGACTGAGGTTCAGTGATTTACCCAATGTCCAAACCCCAAGTCCAGGATCCATATGGTACCTAATAAAGCAACACAGCCTGGGTATTGTCCAGAGATGGGACAGGAAAGAGTGGACTTACCTTGCCAGCCCAGCTCGAGGCGATACTCAACATCGGGTGGTGGGATCTCACCAGGTCTTACAAGACCTTTGTGTGACGGAAGGGCTTCACGTGAGCAGCTATGAGAGCCAAACTGAGGGCTCCCTGGGTTCCTGGGATTACGGACATTATGGGAATTCCCACCTGATCTCTGCATGGCCTGCAGTGTGAAGGGATCCGTGCTCCTGGGCAGGTAGTCATCTTCAGATGCAGCGTGATTCAGATGGCCCACGTCCACTCCTGCTGGCTGAAGAGAAGACAGTGAAGAAACAGCCTTTACTGACCGGAAGAAACAGGGAGGAGGTGAAAATCTGTGTTCAAGTCAGGATAGCCACCACTGGGCGGGCCACACTGTGTTGTGGAGCACGCGGAGACCAGGCAGGAAGACAAGTGGGAATGGGAATAGGGGAATTGTCTGAGTCTCTTCCAGCTTTCCTGGATCCAGCATTTGGGGTAAGTCTCCTGTAAAATGCTCCTAGTGGCTGGGTCCACCCAGCCCTGAGGCCCACTGGGCATGGACAGCCCTGGCTGCAGACTGCACGGGCTGTATGTGCCTCCAGCCTCACCAGGCTCTGCCAGCCTCCCGGAGCTGATCAGGGGAAGTATCCTGTGGGCAGTCCTGTCCCTGAAAGGTGGGCGTGAGGCCATGGTGCATGCCCAGAAGCTTTCAGCACAGGCCACAAGCTGCAGTGGAGGCGAACAGCTCAGCTGCCTTCTCAGCCCGGGCCATACACGCAGGCATTTCACAGTCCTCAGTGCACCAATCTGCTTCCTGTCACCTTGGTACACATCTGAGCCTTCCACCTGACCCATCCTCTGCTGCACCATTCCTATTCTGTTGAGACTCTGTGAATGAGGCTGCTGCAGGGGGTAGCACCACCCTGGCTTTCCTGCTCCGGCCACCAGCTGAGTCAAGGTGCCAGAGCCTCAGTCCTTCCAGACTAGGGACTGTGCACTGACCAGGGCCCTGACCGGAGGTACGAGCCCAGACAGGATCCTTTGAGGGAGCTCCCAGCAGTGGGGATGTACTGACAGCTCTTGGGGTGTGGACTTACACCTGTCCAAACAGTCTGCAGAGACATTCAAAACCCACTCACCTGGTGAATGCTGGCTCCAAGGCTCCTGCACTCAGCAGAGGGTCCTGCTCTCTCCGTGCCCCGTGGGGAGTGCTTGCGGGCCTCAGGGAAGGCAGCTGTGACAGAGGGAGTCAGACCCACGTGGCCCCAGCGGGTTCTGCATGGGCCTTCCCCATGCTCTTCAGTCACTCTGGGTCTTACTAGACCTCCAGAGGACACAGGCCCTGGTCCTGCAGCACATGGTTCACCTCTGAGGACACAGGCCCTGGTCCTGCAGCACATGGTTCACCTCTGACATACCCTGCTGCAGCACGGAGAGTTTGGAAGACCCTCCTAAACGCAGGGATGGCCCCAGTTGCAACCACAGAGAGCCCTTGATTTCTGCCTTCTCTCATTCACTTCTCCTTTTCCCTACCATCCTGCTTAACCAGCTTCACCAGCACAGTGGGCAACGTCAGGTTGAGGCCTGTGCCGCCCCCACAAGCCACACTGAAAACACGGGCACAGGTTTATATGTGTGTGTTTTATCTTCCCTGCTGGAGGTGAATTCTGGGGGGCGGGCAGGAGCTTGTTTTCAAAATCCTCTGCCTCAGTTCCAGGCCAGGGGCAGGAGCTCAGAGCTCCAAACCAGATGCCAGGACCCTGCGGTTGCGTCATCTCTGCCTCTGAGGATGCTGAGGATGTGTCCTAACCTCAGGCCTCACATGAAGGGGAGATGAAGCTCTGTCCTGCCCAACTCCCCTAAGCAGCAGGTTGGAAGAAAGAAGGCTGTGCAGGTTCACAGGTTCTCAGGCGGAGTGCCAATGGGAGGACCCGATACTGCTCCTGCATCAAGAAGATGAGGAGAGCACAGACCTGGAATGCACACAGGGAAAACCAGTGGCAGTGGAAGGAAGGACCTCAAAGAGAAGTTCAGACTTAACCATAGAGAGGTGAGTGTCTCAGAAATCACCCTTAATTTCTCATGTTGCTGTATGAGTACTTCTAGGTTTGGCTGCAATCTGGGCTGAGGTGGATGTCCTTTTAAGTCTTTGGTTTGGTTTGTAAGTGAATGAAATGCTATGATTTGAGCCACAAAGAAGCCTGTGACACGCTGCACTGTGGTTAACCAGGAGGGCCAGTCTCCTTCAGTGAGCAGGAACTTCTCCCAGAAACAGCTGGGGTGGCATGGAAGGCCTGCATCCCAAATGTCTTCCTAGGGCCTGGGTGCTGAGGGCCAGCGAACAGCGAGTACCCTGTCCTTCCTCCCACTCCCCTGGCCTAGCTGGGGTTGACACTGACCTTGTGGAAGGAGGTTGCTGTCCACTGCAGGGAAGTCTCTGTGTCTGGGTATGGTGGCAGCAAAAGGCAATGATCTATGCTTCTTCCTGACCACAGGGTCCTGCGAAGGACAGCTCTGCTGAGGTCTTTCTACCTGGCTGGTGTTGTGGCATTGGCTTGGGGTGGCCATGACATTATTGCCTGGAGCAGCTGCTGCCATGTGGCGTCTATCCATCATGGATTTCTTGAGGATCTGGAAGGCTGAGAGTGGTGTGATTCTGAGTGCTGTGCAGCAGGATGAATCCTCCCTGTGTCTCTCAGGACCTGTGGGAATGCCTGTGGTGTGGCTGTTGGAGGTCAGGTGCTGGGAGAAACTGCCACTGAGACATCTGAAGTCCAGGCTATGCCTCTGAGGCTTGGACTGGATACAGAGGTCTTGGACATGACCACAGATCCTGCTAACACAGTGCCCACTGCCCTGGGCAAGCTTCTGGCTGGCCATGTCACTCCTCATTTGGAATGAAGTCCTTGAGTTTTGAGAGAAGCTGTCACTCCTGAAAGAGGAAGAAGGGAAGGGCAGAACTGACTCCAGAAAGGAATCAGGGGTTGTCAAAGCCCCATGCACCCCGTTGGACTGGAGGAAGCTGGCTGAGGCCCGGCAGCTCTGAAGTCTGCCTGGGACATGTATTGCTCATCTGTGACTCTCTCAACCTAGGATACAACGGCAAACCCACGATTCAAAACATGTAGGATGTTTCTCCTGAACTGCACTCCAGTGCATCCTCTATGTGGACACTCAGCCAGTGTTTGCCTCACCACCCCATGAACCTTTGCTAAGCTGGGTCATCCTTCTCTGCATCCCAGCAGGTGTCTCCATGCCCCTCACACTGCCTGTTTGCTGATGGAGGTTCACTCTTCACTGCACCCCAAAAGGATGTCCACATTCATCTCACACTGCCTACTTGCTCACTGTGCTCTCTTCCCTGCACCCCAGCAGGTCTAGACACCCCCCCTCACACTGCTGGATTGCTCACTGTGGCTGTCTTCCCTGAATCCCAGCAGGTGTAGACACCCCCCTCACACTGCTTGCTTGGTAACTGTGGCTCAGTGTTCCCTGCACCCCAACAGGTCTAGACACAAACCTCACAATGACTGCTTGGTCACTGTGTTTGTCTTCCCTGCACCCCATGAGTTCTAGACCCACCCCTCACACTGCCTACTTGCTCACTAACAGTCAGTCTTCTCTGCACCCCAGCAGGTCTATAAAGACCCCTCACACTGCCTGCTTCATCACTGTGGCTGTCTTCCCTGCACTGCAGCAAGTTTAGACACACCCCACACACTGCCTGCTTGTTCAACGTGGCTGCCTTCCATGCACTACAACAGGTCTCGACACCCCAATCACACTGCCTGCTTGGTCATGGTGGCTCAGTGTTCCCAGCACCACAGCAGGTTTAGACACATCCCGCACACTGCCTGCTTGCTCACTGTGGCTGTCTTCCCTGCAACCAAGCAGGTCTAGACACCCCCCTCACACTGCCTGCTTGCTCACTGTGGCTCAGTGTTCCATGCACCCCAGCAGGTCTAGACACACCCTTCATACTGCCTACTTGCTCACTGTCACTGTCTTTCCTGCACCCCAGCAGGTCTAGACAACCCCCTCACACTGCCTGCTTGCTCACTAAGGGTCAGTCTTCCTTGCAGCCCAGCAGTTCTAGACACACCACTCCCACTGCCTGCTTGCTCACTGTGGCTGCTTTCTCTGCACCCCAGTAGGTCTAGACACATCCCTCACACTGCCTGCTTGCTCACTGTGGCTCAGTATTCCCTGCACCCCAGCAGAAATAAACACTCCTCACACTGCCTGCTTGGTAAATGTGGCGGTCTTTCCAGCACCACAGCAGATCTAGACACCCCCCTCACACTGCTTGCTTACTCACTGGCTCAGTGTTCCCTGCACCCCAGCAGGTCTAGACACCCCCTCACACTGCCTGCTTGCTCACTGTGGCTAGTGTTCCCTGCACCCCAGCAAGTCTAGACACCCCCCTCACACTTCCTGTTGTCCTTGCACCCCAGAAGGGTGTCCACACAACCTTCAAACTGCCTTCTTGCTACTGAGTGTCAGTCTTCCCTGCACCTCAGCAGGTTTAGACACACCTCTCACACTATCTGATTGCTCACTGTGGCTGTCTTCCCTGCACCCCAACAGGTCTAGAGACATCCCTCACACAGACTTCTTTCTCACTGAGGGTCAGTCTTCCCTAAACCCCAGTAGGTCTAGACACAGCCCTCACACTGCCTGCTTGCTCACTGTGCATCAGCCTTCTCCGTACCCCAGCAGGTCTAGACACACCCCTCACACTGTCATCCTTGCACCCCAGAAGGGTGTCCACACAACCCTCACACTGCCAGATTGCTCACTGTGGATCAGTCTTTCCTGCACCATAGCAGGTTTCCCCTAGCCACTCACACTACCTGGATGCTCTGTTAGACCATATAGAGGAGACACATTGGAAGGCAATATTGAGAGGTTGAAAGCAACCTGATATGGTGTCAGAGAGCATCCAGCAAGCACTTCCACCTCTAAGTGTTCACAGGATCCAGCTCACAGGCTAGAATTCAGTACACTAGGAGATGTCTGAACCAAGCCACAGATCTGTTTTCTATCATGAGTCACAGTCTATGAAGAGGCATTCAGAGGGGTAAGTACCTCTCCATAAAATGTAAAAATCTATAGCAAAGTTTCCCATTTGGGAACTGTATTCAGGTTAGAAAAGGTGTGGATCACTATTTTTTAAACTCAATTGGTAAAGAAGAACAAAGACACAAGACTCTGCCAGGCTCCACATTCTCCAGTCCTTCTCCTGGGCAGCACCCTCTGGGAACCTCCTGGTTCCCCTACATAACATCTTCTGCTTCACAAGAGTTTCGTTTCAATATTGGTTTGGGGAACTGGACCATAAGTTTCTGAGTTTCAGGTCTCTTTTTCATCCTTTATGTTAGGATTCTTAATAGGATTTTGTTTGTGTGAAAGAAAGTCAATATTCACAATAGCATCTCTCAGCTATTGGAGGCCTCAAGGGTCTTGATGCACCTGAGATCTCAGAAACATACCGAGGTGCAGCTGTTTGTAGAGGGCCAGGGCCTCTCAGGCCTACCCACAGAATATCTGCCTGGTGCAAACTCCTCAGCTCTCAGGTCCCATAGAGTGTAAGCCACCAGCGTGTAAGCAGACAGGCAGGCGTGCAGGCCAGCGCTGTCTTCTGTCCACATGAGCCCTGATGGTTGCAAGCTCCACTTCTGTTCCCTCTGCATTCCTTATGTCCCAGGCACAGATCAACATCTGTGGGTGATTATGATGGTCAACCTTATCTTGTGTTTTTCACAGTTTACTTTTTAATATTGTTTTTACTTGTAGGTGCACACATTACCATTATTTTTATTTACTTATTTTTGTGTGGTGCTGGGGATCAAATCCAGTCCCTCACCCGTGCTAGGTGAGCATTCAACCACTTAGCCACAACTGCAGCCCTTCAAAGGTTATTTTTATAAAGAAGTTAAAGTCATTCAGAAGGAGAAAGAATTAAGAACAAAATTAATGTTGATTGCCCATCAGAATCAACTGGGGCCAGGAGGCTGTACAATGGAACTCTTTTCGTGCCAAAAGAAAATTAGTTTTGAAATTTGGAGCCAACAGAGGTCTCTCATAAAATGAAGATCCCAAAGCTGAAGCATGGTGGTCTTACTTGTAAACCCAGAGATTCAGGCGGCTTAGGCATGAGGATTGCAACCTCAATGCAGCCTCAGAAATGTAGTGAGACTGTCTCAAAATGTATACAGAAGGGGTGTCCTACATGCATACACGATTACATGACCAATGTAATTATACATCATATACAACCAGAAGAACGAGAAGTTCTTCTCCATATATATTTCAAAATACATTCTACTATAATGTAAAACTAAGAAGAACAAATCAAAAATGATAGAAGAGGGGCTGGGTGTAACTCACTGGTAAGCACCTTTAGGTTCAATCGCCAGAACTGAAAAAAATGAACATGACATGAAGTTACATGAGATAAAAGGGCAATGTGTCACAGGGGCCTCATGTGGCTGCAGAAGGTGAGGGAGCCAAGAAAGGAAACCAGAGGAAGCCTCACTCGATAATTTATAAATTTTGCTTTTCATACATGTTTTAATCCATTAAGTCCCCTGGATTTTCAGTCTTGTGAATATTTCAATGAAATGAACACAGGTGCATTACCATCAGACTCTAGCGGTATATACCTTTTATATGTATTTTCCAAATACATGGAATATATAAACGCTGCCACCATTCTCCTATTACTTTTATCAATAGAAGAGAACTCTAAGGATACAGCGTTCATTTCAAAGTAACCATCAATGATGCATCTGTTGCTCACTTTTCATAGGTGTCCTGTGTGCAAACAATGGGTTAAATGAATTGCAGGACCTAGAGGAGGTGGGCTGTCTGTCTTGTGACATGAACACTCCTGGGGCCACCTTTCCTTCTTGTCCCCTGCTTCTGCCTGAAGAGTACCCTGGTCACACCCTCAAGACAGATCTCCTGGAATCGCTCTCACCTCTCCTTCTCCTGAGAATGTCTTTGTTTTTACATACCTGAAGGGTCCTCTCACAGGACAGACTTTGGAGGGTTTCTCCATCTTTCCATTAATCTCAGGAGTGTTTTCCTTTCTCATGTGGAGTGCTGTTAAACAGGGCTTTAGGGTCAGCATCTGGAGTCTGGTTGGCCTCTGCCCCTTCCTTTAAGAACTGTTTCATATCACTGCATCTCTGTATGTTGAGAAAGTCTGGATTCTGTCCTGAATGCTGTGTCTGGCATGCGGTGTGGACTCTGGGTTGTCATAATCCTTTGGAGAATGGACATTTTTCTTTCTGCAGGAGAGTGTCTGGTATCTGTCTCTCCGGGGTGTGTCAGTTAATCTTTGTCCCAGACTTTGCTGTATGGCTTGATAATGGACCCTGGGGGCTATTTTGCTCTTGAAGAGCAGAATCAGAGCAAAATCACAATCATGTCAAGAACAAGACTCTGCGTGCTTATGCTAGAGCATAAGGAAGGCAGCAACAGGAGACAGAGCCCAGGGTGGCACAGACAGGAACATCCATATGGCAGGCAGGGGCCAGCCTCCTGCTGCTCCTACACATGTAGCTTGTTTGAGGTCACACTGCACTCTTCATGGGCCTCCCCTTTTGACACATGGTTCACCACAGGTTGTGACATTTCACTCAGAGAGGAGGTGACTATATTTAGTGGCTATCATGCATGTAGGTGTGTCCCTTGCCACCTGCAATCTGCCCCCTGCCATCAGGGAAGATTCCTCACTAGGTTCTGGAGAAGGATGAATCACAGCCCCGCCTTACAGACTGGGCTTCCTGGTGTCTCTACTGAACACACAGTTTTGAAAACTGAGATGATTTCCCAACCAACCATCTACTGGTGTGTTATCTTAACTCTATAAC